GGAGAGAGGGTGGTGGTCTTTGCCAGCCGCAGCTACAACGCAGCCGAGACAAACTACAGCTCATATGAGGGAGAGGGTTTAGCAGCGGTGTGGGCAGTCACCCATTTCTGCATGTACCTGCAGGGACGCGAGTTTACACGGGTCACGGACCACCAGCCCCTCCTCTGGCACATGACGAACCACAGTCTGACAGGGAGAAACGCACGATGGGCGATGCGGCTGATGGAGTTCGATTTTGTCGTCAAACACTGCCCAGGGCGCACCTTGCAGCATGTGGATGGATTGTCACGCAACCCCACAGCAGAAGAACCAGAGGCGTGCCTGGTGGCGTTGGCGCGAGAAGTGGAAAGGCAGGCGGGGGTGCAGCCAGAAGCAAGGGGCATGCCGGATGTGTGGACCGACCTAGAGACGCTACGCTGGCTCGGAGGCGAGACCGAGGCAGAGGAAGAGGTGTCAGAGCGGGCGCGCGCTAGAGGACAGCACTACAGGTGGTACGCGGGGCAGGTGCAGCTCAGAACGCGGGAGGGGTGGAAACAGGTCCCAGCCCCGGCGGAAAGGGAAGGCATCATCAGGAGGGTCCACGCTCAGATGGGGCACTACGGGCATGTTCGAACCACCCAGTTGGTCAACACAGGCTGGTGGTGGGTGGGAATGGTAAGGCAGATCCGTGAGTACGTGGCACAATGCGAGGCGTGCGACAGGAACCGGGCACAACTGGAGTGGGGTCAGCAAGAGCTGCAGTCACTGCCCATCAAAGGGATGGGACACCGATGGTTACTTGACATGGCAGGAGAGCTGCCAATCACCCGCCGAGGAAAGAAGTACATCCTCGTCATGGTCGAACATGTGAGCAAGTGGGTGGAGGTGCGCGCGCTCAGCAGCAAAAGCGCAGCCTTGGTGACCGAGGCGTTCACAGAGCAGGTGCTCACCACGATCAGGGCATGCGGCGCGGTCCTCACTGACCAGGGAACGGAGTTCCGAGGAGAGTTTGATACAGCCTTGGCGGCAATTGGGATCACGCACAGGAGGACCTCCCGCTACCACCCCCAAGCAGATGGCCACATCGAGCGCATGGTGCAGACGTTGAAGCGAGGCCTGCGCGCTTATGGGGAGGCGCACCAACGAACCTGGGATATGGATCTGCACTGGGTGGCGGCGGGGAACCGCTTCAGCAAGCAGGCGACTCTGAGAGATGTCTCACCTTACTATCTGCTCTACGGACGAGACCCCATTCTGCCAGTGGGAGCGCCATGGATGCTGACGGAGGTGGTGATAGCCAGGGCTCCACAACTCTGGGCAGCGCTGGCCAAGGTGAGGGGAGATTACCTTCGCTCCCTCTTGCCTTTGGCCCTTGAGAACTTGCAGTCGCCCAACTGCGGGATGCACAGCGATATCAGTAGCGGCTTGGTGGCGGCCGGCCACCAAGAGGGGCTCAGCCGCAGGAAGGCCAAGAGGTGCACTGCCGCACAGCACATCAGAACGTGCTCAATCGGGGGCTCGGTGAAGAACGCTGGCGAGTGGTGGAAGCGCGGGAATCGGGAGTGGTGGTGCTGGAGAACTAGCAAGGCAGGCGAGTGAGGGACCATGTCACCAACACAGCGCGGGCACGCACCAGGAGTGCTGGACGTCTAGAGCAGGGCGAGCAGGAGCCATAGCCAGCTCCAGAGGGGGCAAGTGGGTGTTCCATCTCAGTTGATTGAGGAGAGCAAGAGCAATCAAGAAGAGAGAGAGAGGAAGCGAGCACCCATACTCCTGGAAGAAGTAGAGAGAGTAACAAGGCCCGTGAGGGTGAGAGTCAGGAGGATGAGCAGGCCTGGGACCAGTGGGGCAAGGCGGCAGGAGAAGAAGGAGACAAGGGAAGGAGTTTTCCGACAACCACAAGGCCCGGGTCTTCGCTGACGACTATCACAAGACCGCATTTCGAACCTGCTACGGGAGCTAAGAGTTCACAGTGATGTCATTTGGCCTCACGAATGCGCCTTCAACATTTCTACTGACCATGAACGAGGTATTTCGCAATCTCCTCGACAAGTGTGTTATCGTCTACTCGGACGATATTTTGATCTTTAGCAAGACAAAGGAGCAACACCTTCGCGACCTCGACGCAATAATTAAGTGGCTGCAGGAGAACCGCCTTATAACGAAAGGCTCTAGGTGCGAGTTTTTTAAAAGGAGCTGTTGTTTCTGGGGCACGTCATCTCCCGCGACGGCATTAGAATCGACCCGGCGAAACTCAAGACCATGCAGGAGTGGAAGTCCTTGACGAATATCACAAAACTTCAAAGTTTTCTGGGATTTGTGAATTACGTCCGGCGTTTATCCCGAATATGGCGGGGATAACTGGCCCGCTAACCGACCCATTGCACAAGGACAGAGATTTTATGTAGGGGGGGGAAGCTGATGCGGCTTTTTAGGAGTTGAAGAATTTTCCCGTTTCCCTTCCGATTTTGCGAATCGCCGACGGGCGCCGACGTCACTGTTCGCACGAACCACAAGTCCCACAATACCTGCGAGCTCAACCCAACCTCAACCCACAACAAATTTGTTGGCACGATTACATGGAGAGCCATTTCACCTACCGCATCACGTACAAGAAATGGGCGAATAACATCGTCGATCCCCTTACCCGCCCGAAATTTCAATATGTTGCAATACTCATTACCGATTCGAACCCACTACTTACGGGACTATTCACCGACGGCTACACTACGGACCAGTTCTTCACGACTGGGAATCACCAGCAGGCGATGACGCAAAAGGGAAACTATTACCCGAAAGCCGGAATTGAGCGGATTAATTGCTCCCCGTTTTTTCCTGAATTACGTGATGGACCAGGTGGTGCCAACCACGGCAACACTCGACAACCCGGTCCCGCGGTCACAAAATTTTGTGAAGGAACTCCAGGAGATTCGCGAGAAGGCAGCCGACGCTATTCGCAAGGCTAATACCACTGCCCAAAAACACACGGATCTTCTATGACGAGAAATCATCATAACAGCTGGGCAACTAGTGCTGTTCGACACGAAAAACCTCCGCCTGATCGGCTCGAAGAAACTACGGACACGATTTTGTGGGCCATTTCGTATCATCCAGATGGTGCCACCTTTCACCGCGAAGTTGTTGCTACCCGACGACTGGCGTACACGACGCTCAGCCTCCCTCGCAAGTTTGTGCCTGCCACGACAGGCATCACGCGCCAGAATGCCGCCTTGACAGCTCGGTCTGTCCCGGAACCGACACTCGATCCGTCAAAACATTTTGCGCATCGTGTTCGCCTCGACATCTCTGGCCGCCACGTAGACTTCTTAGTCCGTTGGACTGACCGCACCAGCGAGGACGACACTTGGGTGCCATCCGCCTCGCTTGAAGCGTTCCCGCTTCTTGGTAATTATCTCGCCCACTAGCGAGCTGCGGATATTAACCACCTTTCTTAAGGGGGGTGGTAGTGTAAGGAATTTTCCGTTTTCCATACCGGAGCTGACTGCTTCGCATACAACCTCGACATTTCAGACTTCGCACGTTTCGGCCGACACATACGCTCCCGAGGCTGCTCCTCGTCGCCTACGGATTTCTCAATCGGCAAACCTGCACCCAACCTCGTAGCCTCGTTATTCGTTATCCCGCGCACTCTCTTTTGCAACTCATAACATCACACGCAGCGCGTAACCGTTTGCATGTTCGCACATAAGTATTCGCTCATTGCCTTCGCTCATACTTTGTACTCGTCTGACACCTATTGCAATCCTCTCTATCTCGTTCCGATGCACCCGTAACACTTGGTACCATAGCGAGTTTCTCTTCGGACCGCGCATCTTCGCACCAAGAGAAATCAACTTCTATTTTTTGCACTCGAAGGGACTCACGCCCCTTAGTACCTAGGAGGCATTGTCATCGCGTTCTCTCGAAAACGCGTGCAGCCACGACTGCGCCTAGAGCTAAGACGAGCCGCTGTCCTTCAACATGGCCAAACATATTGACGTCACGAGCCTCCTGCGAGAGCGCATGAACCAACTGCTCCAGCTGCTGCACGAAAAGTTTGAGGAAATTGCAGCGTCGATGGCGGAGCGTACGTCATTGCAAAACTTTGTCGCACGGGCGCAACAAGCACAGTCACAAGCACAAGGCACACAAGGACAAGCTCGCAACACGTAAGTGTGGGGAAACCCTCAAACGCAGCTAGTGATGGCATCGCCCGCAACGACGGACGACGACCACGGCGCGAAGCACCCCAGAGCGACAAATGCGGCCAGGAGCCAACCCCGCGTCACGGTTTTAGTGCCGATCCGCGAATCAGCTCTGCCGTCACCGATGTCGCTCAAGACGCAGCGTTCGCCTTGCTTTGACGAAGCCAACGGGGTGGTCCAACCATTCAAGCGTGGTGGTTAACGATGAACGTCTTCTTCGACGCCAACTACGTCTCGGAGGACTCGGCGAAGATTCGATACGTCGTGTCGCTGCTGCGAGGACCCGCCATGGACTGGTGGCGCATCATCGTCTCGAAGCTGGCGTGTCGTATTTCGTGGAAGTACCCCAGTATCGCACGTGGGACACGTGGTGCACAGGTCTGCGCGCGAGATTTGAGCCAATTGCGCCTTCAATCGCGGCGCGTAAGAAGCTCCGCACTTGGCGCCAGCTCGGTTCCTTCCAGGACTACACCAGCGGGTTTCTAGCGTTGTGCCAGCAGGTGGGCTACATGCATGAGGGAGAGCATATCGACGCTATATCGGCGGCCTGAAACACGAAATTGCTCAAGACATTCAGCTGCGCAACGTCACCGAAATCAATGAGATTCTCGCTATGGCGAAGAGGCTTGGCTTCTTACGCCGACCGAGATCGGGGTCCTACGGCAACAACAGCAGCTGGGGACATCAGGCTCGTGGGACGAACGAGCACGCCACGATACGCGCCGTCGCCGCGAACGCCGCTGCCGCACCATTCAAAGGGCGTTGCTTCGCGTGCAACAGGCCGGGGCACAATAAGAGCGAATGTCCGGAAGAACGCTAAGGGAAAGGGGAAAGCTGCGCAGTAGAAACAGACCAAGCAGCAGGGAAATGCTGGGAGTCAGTAGCAGACAGGCCCTCTAATGACAGGTCACGCCGCTCGCCCGACCCAACCGACAGTCTCCGAGTAATTGTGCTGGTTCACGCAATCGACCACAATGGTAGACTGCTCCATACTGTTTAGTGGGAAGATACGGGCAGACTAAATTAAAATCTTTGTATACGAGGGAGCCAGCCACAGCTTGATTAACACCGCCACGGCGCGGAGACTGAAACTGCCACTGGGCAGATGCTTACCTGAGATCGACACACGATTTGTCGACGGCACGCCACTGGCAATACGGGAATCTGTGGACCGGGTTTGGATCCGATGTGGGGTAGCTTCACATTTACCCAGGAAATGCTCGCAACGACCCTCGACGGGATCGACATTTTACTTGGCCGATATTGGCTGCGACGACACAATCCGCGAACCGACTGGACGATGGGGTGACTGCACAGTGCGAGTGAACGGTAACAACATCGCCCTACCTCGCTGGAGCTCGCCTAAGTCTTCGTCGGTGAGTGTCAACGCAATCATGATGAAACGAGATGTAGCGACAAGAGCTTACGTGTATGCGGTTGACACCCGGGAAGCCGAGGCAGCAGACAAGGGGGGCGATCTGCATAAACTGTTCGCCGACGTACCTGGTGACTTGGCAGCGCTACTGAAGCAGTACATCGAGACTTTTCCGGATGACCTACCGGAGGGACACCTCGGCGACCGCACGACCACAGGATAGAACTGGAACCGGGGGCACAGTCGACAGTACGGCAACAGTTCAGACTGACCCAACCCGAACTGGACGCATTGCGAGAGAAGCTGGAATATCTGCTCGAGAAACAGTTCATTCGCTCGAGTTCGCCGCCCTTCGCTACACCACCACTGTTCACACCGAAAACGGGGGGATTCGCATGTGCATAGAGTACCGCGCACAAAAGCGAGTTTCAATCAAGTCTCGTTACCCCATCCCATCGACCAACTTCGCACAGCCAGGATCTCTCCATTTTCGACCTTCACTTCACGCGCCTTCGACTTGCCAGCCGCTTCATCACACAGTGCGTCAACTGCCCCGCGTTGTTCAGAATGACGAGCTCGGCCCCCCACCTTCCGTGTACCAATCCCCCGTCTGACTCGCGCTCCTGGGACCTTATCTGCCGCCACATCCTCCTCCTCTTCCTCTTCCCCCCCTTCCTCCTCCTCCTCCTCCTCCTCCTCCTCCTCCTCCTCCTCCTCCTCCTCCTCCTCCTCCTCCTCATCCTCCTCGTCCTCCACCTCTTCCTCCCCCTCACCATCCTCCTCCTCCTCCTCCTCCTCCTCCTCCTCCTCCTCCTCCTCCTCCTCCTCCTCCTCCTCCTCCTCCTCCTTCTCCTCCTCCTCCTCCTCCTCATCCTCCTCCTCCTCCTCATCCTCCTCCTCCTCCTCCTCCTCCTCCTCCTCCTCCTCCTCCCCCTCATCCCCCTCATCCTCCTCTGCATCCTCAGCGTCTTCTTCATGGTGTTTCGGCCTCTTCCCCCTCGCTGCTTGCTTGCCCCTTCTTCCGCCAGATTTCTTCCACGCTCCGTTCCGGCCCTTCTGGCGCAATGCAGCACCCATCGACTTGCCACTTGCTTCCCTGGCGCCTTGCGTTTCCCCAACTTCCGCACCTCCCCCTTTGTCAGCACTGCCTTTCGTCTGCCGCCTCTTCGCCCGCGTAGTGATGGCGCCGGCTAGGGCGGTGTCATCCTCTTCCTCCCCCTCGCTCTTCCTCTGCCTACGCCTCCCACGTCCACCTGAAGGAGGAGAGCCAATAGCGGCATCATCATGGCTGCGGCGGCCGACGTTGGCGATGTCGTGTTCCTCCTCCATTGAATTTTTCTCCCCACCGTTGTCCTTCTCGACTACGGCATCAGATACTTCGACCACGGTCGGCTGGAGCAGCGTCAGACGCTGTTGCGATGCTTCCGCCTTGAACTCCTAGATGGCGTCATGCTCGCCTGTTGGAGCGTCGTCGTGATTTCCCCTTGGCACTGAACCTTCTCTCTTCGCCGACGGATCTGCAAGACTCACGCTCCCTCGCCCAGGATCGTCCTTAGCATCGATGGTGCCGTCGTCAGTCGGCCCGGGCTCGCTTCCACCATACTCATCATCCGCCGTTCTTTTTATTTTAGAGACCCGCTTCCGTGGTGTTGGTCGCTTCCCCTTGTCTTCCGCCTTATTTTTCGGACTTATCTTGAGCATGCGCGCTTTTCCCTTGGCTGTCACGCCCGTCGGACGATTTAGTAGCTTTAGATCCGCCATCACCCTCCTGCTTGATCTAAAGAGGCTGCCTTCTTGTCGCGCGTCATCCGGCCTTTTCCTCCTCCATCTCCTTTTGTCAGGTGGCACGTGTCATGGTTGTCAAGGAGAGAGTTGTGTGGCCCTGTCCTCGCTTGGGCGGAGCCGACCTCGTGGTCGGATGTGCGGGGGATGCAGCCGACCTATAGTAGTGGGCACGGGGCCCATTACATGGGCGCCAAGCTTGAGGGCGCTTGGCTGGAGGGCGGCGAGTAGGAGAACGCCGTCCTGGACGCCTGGTTAACAACCTGGATGCCTGGACGGCGTTCCGGGAAGCTGGACGCCGACCTAGGCGCCTGGACGGCGTCCTGGGCGCCTGGACGCCGGATTGGGGACGCCGGGCATGCGCAGCCGGCGACAGACAGGGCTGGTCGACTAGGCGTGGTTGCCCGGTCGACCGAAATACCCGGGCGACGTGTGCGAAGGTCGCCGGGGTGACTTCTACGAGGCCGACCTCGAGGGTGGTATTCCGAGGTCGACATGGCTGGTGGGCGCAGTCGCTGTCATGGGTTCTGCCAGGCGTCTACGCTGAGCATGTGACGAGGCGTGGTGCACCAACCAGCTGCACACACCTGCGAAGCAGATGCACTGTTGTTCTGCGGGTGCAACGCTGTGCAGCCGACTTACTGCAGCGTTGGCACACCGTGGACTTGCAACGTTGGCGAACCGCTACTCTGCAACGCTGGAGCGGTGCGAGCGCTGCTGCGTTGGAGTGCGGTCGACCATGCTGCGCTGGAGGTCAACCAGCAGCCTAGCTAGCTCTAGTCTGTGATGCCAATGTTGTTGCTATCATTGTTGTCAACTTTCTTAGCGAAGCTCTTGCCGAATTCCCTGTGAACAAGCAAGCAGTGTGTGCACTAGGAAAACGACTAAGGAACGCAGAGATCACACGAGCACCCGTGCCTAGCCCACAGTCTAGCTCCCGTTGCTAAAGTTATCTCCGCAATGGTGGAGTTACAACATGCACTTGGCAAAAAGCGGAAAGCGGGTTAGGTATCGTGTCCATTCCGCAAAGGTTCGTAACCAGAACAAACTCGGTGGTCCGAAGATTAATGTTGCGTCGAACATGCACGGAGCGCGGAGTAACCTAAAATAGTTGTCACGCGTGTCCGATCGCCCACCCACTATTTTGTCGACTGGTGAGTCATAGGCGATCTGGATACGCATGTGACAATTATCGAGCAGCGCCAAGGTTGTCGGCCTGACGGTGAAGAAAGCTGGTTGGGGTGGCTTGCGAGACGAGAGAGATGAATTTTCTATGATCAGGCTAGATCGGACGATATTCCTAATGCCACCCGATCGAAATGCGCACTCAACGATTGACCTCAGCCACTTCAATGGCAGATGTACCGTTTGGCTAGTGACCTTGTCGCAAAATGAATCGGTTCGGTATCGTAGGCCAATCAGTGTTGCCAACTCAGCAATCACTGCACACACCGGAACAATTTTTGGCCCGCTTGAGCAAATGTACCGTCAACCCTGTAAAGTACAGTATACAAAGTTGCATTTAGAAGTAAAATATGTTTCAAAACTACAACAAATACAATTCAAAAATGAATGCCTTACATATTTACTAAGATAGGGCTATCCATCAACACGAGCAGAAATACAAGTTTCCATCGTTGAGGCTGGTTACTTCTCAAAATCGAACCAAGCACATGTTGAGTGCCACCACGGTGAAATGATAGTGTACAATATCTAGAATTGACTTGTGACTAGTACCTAATGGGCTGTCGTGTCAGAATGAGAACAGCGGAATGGTGTAGTGAGATACAAGTATGCAACCTTAAAAGGGTTGTACCCTATATGCGCTACCCCACTACAGCCTACAAGCATATATGCATTTTGACACACACCCATAGGAAAAGTGGGGAATAGCAAGAACAACAAATGGTCGCTAGACAAGTCAAGCAAAGAAGCAAAGCAAATGAAAGCTCGTGGTGGATCTTGAGATCACCACGCAGTCTGAGTACAAGCAAGTGGCCACAAGGCCAGTTCACATGCTGAGTTATAAAATCACAAGTAGTACAACGATCACAACCTAGCAAGAGTAAGCATGCAGGTATATATATAGATCACAGTACAAGGCGAAGTCAAGTAGTAAGCAAGTGAGGCAAAGTAGGCACTAGGCCGAGAAGAGAGCAGAAACGTTGATGATCACCAGACACGAGTGCCTTGGTGAAAATATCAGCAGTGTTGGTCCGTGAGGCCACGTACGCAAGGCAAAGCTGACCACGCTGCTGTCACTCTCGAGCGAGAAAGTAAGGAAGAGCAATGTGCTTCGTTCTATGCTCCGGTCTCTACTCCCGACACAAGGCAATCGAGGCCTTGTTGTCGACGTACATAACCGGAGTAGAACGAGGCCGCTCACCCAAGTCTGTCATCAAGTAGGTCAGCCAGCATAACTCCTGTGAAGCCATGGCCCCCGCGTAGATCTCAGCCTCACACCTGGAGCTGAAAACAGAAGACGAGAGGGTGGACCTCCAGGAGAGAAAAACCAGAGCCGAGACTGAGTGTGTAACCCTGTGACGACCGCTGAGTCGCCTGGTCGTCGATCCAAGAAGCGTCTGAGTGTCCTGTGAGTTCAACTAAGCCCCGTCCTCCAAGCACAAGCCCCATGCTCGACGTAATGCACAAGTAACGCAGCACCCTCCTAGCAGCCCGCCAGTGCTCTCCTTGGCACAACGTAGCGCGCTAAGATGCTGAGAGGGTACGCGAGGTCAGGTCGAGTGCAAGTCATCAGGTACATGAGGCAGCCCACAAGCTCTGGATACTAACCACTCAGCTCTACGAACTCGTACGAAGGTGGAGCTGAGAGCGAGTGGCCTGTAGGTAGAGGAGTGGACTGGGACGAGGAGAACTAGAAGCCGAAGCGCTGAAGGACCTGGTACACCATGTCTGACTAAGTCAGAGTGATGGTGTGTTGTGCTCTGTCCCGGGTGATCTGCAAGCCAAGATAGCTCCGCAGCTCATCCAGGTCACTGCATGTGTGTCTCTTCTGCAGCTCGGACTTCACGTGGGCCAGTGCCTCAGTGTTGGCAGTAGCAAAGACCAAGTCGTCGATGTACACGAGGATGTAGAACGGCGGTCAAGAAGTTCGATGCGCAGAAACAGCGACGGGTCAGCAGTCGAAGGAGCAAACCCAAGAGCTGCAAGTGTCGTCCTCAGAGTGTCATGCCACTTGCGAGGCGCCTGACGGAGACCGTAGACTGGCCACCGAAGGCTCCACAGGGTACCCTCAGAAAACGACCCAGTGAAGCCAGGTGGGCGACGCAGCCAAATCTCCTCGTGAAGGCTGCCGCGCAAGAAAGTTGTGCTGAAGTCAAGCGAGTGGAGCTCGTAGTCACCTGTGCTGCAACGTGCAGTAACACGTGAAGAGTGGTCATCTTAGGAGTGGGGGAGAAGGTCCGGTAGAAGTCGACCCCCTATTGCTGACTGAAGCCTCGTGCAACGTAACGCGCCTTGAAGGCAGGCGGAGAACCCGGCGGCCACTTCACCCTGAAAATACGCATGCCATCGACTATGTTTGCCCCAGGAGGGGGAACCTTGTCGACATAGGTGCCTGTGGACTTCCAGGAAACCATCTTTGCATCCATGGCTGTCTGCCACTGAGAGGAGTACCGACCCGAAATTGCCTCTGCGTAAGAGCGCGGGGTCGGGATGTCTGGTGCATCCGGGTCTCCCTAAGGGGCAAGCAGCATGGCAGCGAGATGAGGAACAGCAGCCGCAAGGCACTCGAGCTCAAACTGCCTGCCCTCAAGGACGTCACAGTCAAGGGCAACATCACCCCCGAAGGACGGAGGACAGTCCGACTCTGACTCCGTGACAAGGCTCGCGAAGTAGTCAAGACGACACGCAGAGGCGAAGTCAACAAGCTCAGTGACTAAGGCAGACGCAGCAGTAGACACAAAGGAAGGGTCAGTAACAAGTGTGGCCAGGACACGAGTGACTGTAGGACTAGCATCACGAGTAAGGTCACACTCGGGGTCAGGAACGTCAGGATGAGAATACGCAGGAGGCGAACAGCGCAAGGACGAAAAGCCATAGCGTGAGTGCCGGGACAGGTGGAGGGCGAGCACGAGGAGCACGACGAGGTAGAACAGGCGTGATAGGACGCGACGCAGGCTCTCTACTCTCAGTGAGTGACTCTGTCACCTCAGTATAAGGAGCAGGAGCAGGCAGTGGGGAGTCAGGCAGTAACAGTGGCTAAGACGGGTCAGCAGGTGGAAACAGTAACGGAGGAGTAGTACCAGCAACAGAGAACCCAGTCACAACAGGAGGGGGACTGAGGAGGTGGCGAAGCGCAGACGGCTGCTGCACAGTAGTCGGACCCCCAGAACCGCCAGTGACGGGTCCGGCAGGTCCTCCAGCACCAGCACCTCCAGCTGTTGCAGTACCAGTACCCCCAGCACCAGCAGCTCCAGCTCTGCCACCGGACAGCCTTCTCGCGAAGCTGCTGAAAGAATCTCCTAGCGACGTGCATCAGGACCTCCAGTACCAGCACCTCCAAGACCTCCAACTCCAACACCTCTAGCACCAGCACCTCCAGCACCAGTAACTCCAGCACCAGCACCTCCAGCATCTCCAGCACTAGCACCTCCAGCACCAGCAACTCCAATACCAGCGCCTCCAGCACCAACACCTCCAGTACCAGCACTGCGAGGACCAGCACCTCCAGCACTAGCACCCCCAGCACCGACAGCTCCAGTACCTCCAGCACCTCCAGCACCTCCAGCACCAGCACCTCTAGCACCTCCAGCACCAGCGCCTCCAGCACCCCAATCTCCGCCACCATGGCTGCCCCACCGGACAGCCCACTCGCGAAGCTGCTGCGGCAAGCGAGGCTCCTGTCGACGAGACAGTTGCTGGTGTCCACCGCCAGAACCTCCAGTAGTAGTACCCAC